ATTTCGAACTAAGGAAGGTAAGATGATTTTGCACTAAATATCCTTCCTAGTCGAAAAGAATTTACCCTTTGATTTGATTCTGGGAATGGACTGGCACGAGGAAGCCAACCCAGATATCAAGTTCAAGGAAAAGGTAGTGCAACTGCGGGATGCACAAGCTGGATTGAAACCTATCAAATTGTTCCATAAGTCTGACTCTGACTCTAGTCTCTCTTTCTGTTGCACGAGTTACCCAACATTTCGATCGATGGTTTCAAAGAAAAAGTTGGAGCAGGAAGTAATGATGGTCTTGGTTAAGAAAGCAGGTGAATGTTCTACTTCCTACCCTCCTTCGATTGAAAATTTTTTAATCGAATATAAAGAATTATTCACTGAACCAACAGGAATAAGTGAGCGTGCAATTAAGCACACCATTGAAATTATTCCTGGAAGTAAGATTGCCAAGGGATCTACCGAATGTCTGCGAGGGAACTTGAGGGGTTAAGGAAATAATTGCAAGACTTAACAGAAAAAGGATGGATTTGCCCTAACTCCTCTCCTTATGGTGCTCCTGTCTTGTTTGTACCTAAGAAGGAAGGTGAATTACGTCTCTGTATAGACTACAGAGGGTTGAATGTCGTCACTGTTAAGAATGCTGAACCGCTTCCTCGCATTGACGACTTACTTGACCAATTACAGGGATGCAGGTACTTTAGCAAGATCGACTTGAAATCTGGGTATCACCAGATTGAGGTAGAACCCTCCGATCAGCATAAAACTGTTTTCCGGACCAGGTATGGCCACTACGAGTTTGTGGTAATGCCCTTCGGTTTAACGAATGCCCCTACCACTTTTCAAAGGTCAATGAATGACTTGTTTCGTCAATGGTTGGATAAGTTTGTCATTGTCTATCTCGAATATATTCTAGCGTATAGTAAAACACTGGAAAATCATGAGAAGCATCTTCGTCTGGTGCTAGAAAAGTTGCGTGAGGGCAACGTTAAGATTAATTCAAAGAAGTCTGAGTTTGCTAAGTCCGAAGTGTTATACCTAGGACACATAGTAAACGAAGAAGACCAAGGCCGGAAGCGAAAAAAATATCAGCAATTAGAGATTGGCCACAACCAAAGTCTGTTACTGAATTGCAATCTTTCCTTGGTTTAGCTAGTTCTTATAAGAAGTTTGTTAGAAATTCTCACTAATTGTTGCACCAATGAGAAGATTATTGAAGAAAGAAAATGTTTGGTTGTGGGATAAGGATTGTGAGTCTTCCTTCCGAAAATTGAAGTATGCCCTGACTCACTACCCCGTCCTTAAGATTGCTGACCCGTCTTTGTCTTTCATTGTCACTACTGATGCAAGTCGGTATGGGATTGGCGCTGTTCTCCAGCAGGATGACGGCATATAGACCCATACAATTTATGTCTGCACGACTGCTGTCGGAAAAGGTTGTCAACTCCACCTATGAAAGGGAGTTGTATGCCTTAGTCTGTGCACTGAACACGTGAAAGCAGTACTTATTAGGAAGGTATTTTACTGTGTACCCAGACCACTCCACTCTGAAGTGGATAAAAGACACAGCCTAGGCTCTCTGATAAGTTGATACGATGGTCTGCATTTATTGATACCTTCGATTTTGAATTGAAAACGATCAACGGTAAATCTAATGTGGTTGCAGATACATTATCCAGACGAAGTGACTTCTTTGGTGCAATTGTCTCTTATTTAGATGTTGGGAATGACCTGAAAGACCAGATTCGTCAGGGATATGCTATTCATCCTATCTGGAAACCTATTTTGAATATCCCTATACGAGATTTGTCCCAACTACCCAATTATAGACTAACTGACGGGTTGTTGTTCTTGATTGACCAAACTGAACAAAGATTGTGTATTCCTCATAAGGAAGAGATTAAGAGTCTATTCATTGAGGAATGTCACGATTCTGAGGGTTATTTTGGTTTCAAGAAAACGTATATTGAAGTTAGAGAACGTTTCGAATGGAAGGGACTTAAAGAAGATATACTAACATATGTTCGTACATGTCTAGTGTATCAGAGAAACAAGTCGTCGCATGAGAATCCCCTTGGGCTTCTCAAGCGATTACCTATACAAAGTGAACCAGGTGAGTCTATCTCAATTGACTTTATGAGTCTGGTTAAAAGTCGCAATGGTAATAGTCAAGTGGTGGTAATTGTGGGTCGTTTCTCTAAGTACGCTATGTTTGTTCCCTTACCAGCAGAAGCGCGTACTGAACTTGTCATTCATAAATTTCAGATGCGATGGGTCACTGAGTATGGGTTCCCTAAAACCATTGTGTCTGATCGAGATGTCAGGTTTACCAGTCTGCCATGGCAAAAGTTGATGGAAGTTTATGGCACACGGCTGACCATGTCGTCAGGGAGGCATCCCGAAACGACTGGCCAGACTGAATAGATGAACCGTCTGTGCCAGCAGCTTTTGCGTATGTATATTAGATTCGATCAGATTGATTGGGATGATAACTTACCTAAATTGCGAGTGCATATAACAATAGTGTCCACACTTCTACTGGACGAACCCGAAATGCACTTCACAAAGGGTGGATGCCTAAACGTCTCATTGATGTACTAAATCGGGACCAATTCCTTAGGTTGCCCCCAGGGACTCGAGAATATGCAATATTGTTCCAGGAGGACATTCAGAAAGTTAAAGATAATCTAAGGAAAGCTCAACTACGGATGATTGAACAAGCCAACAAGCACCATCGACCGTCTACATTCAAAGAGGGTGATCTGGTTTGGGTAAAATCTAAAGAGTTTTCATTAGAAGAAGATGTGTCCCAAAAATTGCTACCTGTCTATTTTGGACCTTGGGAAGTTCTCAAAGTAATTGGAGATGCAGAGGGACCGTCTTATCGAGTTGATATTCCCCCTCATCTCAAAACATATCATGTCTTTCATGCGTCCAAACTGTTACCTTACGTAGAAGGAAATGAGTTTCCACACAGACCCTCTATGATTCCACTAGACATGGATGGCGGATATGAGGTTGACAGAATCATAGAGCATGGTTACTTCTCTACGGGAGGACGTGAACGACCTCAGAAGCAGATCAAGGTACGTTTTAAGGCTCAAGCACCATCTGAGGACAGATGGTTTAGTAAACGAGAACTACTTGAAACTGCTCCTGATATTGTCGTTGCTTATGAACGAGGGTTAAAGTCTTAAATATTTCTACGGTGGAACTCAAAAATGGGTCGGCAAGAATGTAATAACCCTGTTCAGAAGTAGCCTGGGGCTCAGAACTCAGCCCCGCGCAATGCAGACCTGAGTTGGTCTGCGCTGGGTTGTGTGACCAACACACGCCCAGGCCTGAGTCTGTCGCATATGGCTGTGTGATCGAACACTGCACAAAGGAAATTCAAGGGTCAAACTCAACTGTAGAGTCAAAGGTACCGCACCTAGGCCCTTGGTTGGATTCACTCACTTGTTGTGCGCAGGTACCTAGACAGCATCCAGGCCGAAGGGAATTCGGTTTCAAGAACAATCTGAGCCCTCGTTTGCATTGAGATCTGGACGATTGAGGGATGCAGCATCTGGGTCCAGACCCGGCGTCAACGCTACATAAGCGCTGACTTCCTGGCTTTGACATTCATTCTGTCTTGCGTTGATGTTGACTTCACGCGTTGACTCCAACGCTGGCTCGACGCTGCGACGCTGGCTTGACGCTGCGACGCTAGCATTGTGACTCGGCGAGGCGCTGCTGGTCCGACATGGTGGTTGGCTTGCTCCTGTCTTCTTGGCAGGCTGACGTGGCAGTTGCTATGCGTTGTCGCTGATGTGGCTATTGCCACGTGTATCATTGGCTGGCGTGGCTGCTGCCACGTGTTCTATGGTTGGGACTACGTGATCGGCATTGCTGTTATATTTCATCGTCACTTCAGGAGGAGATCAGGATTGTGGAGAGTTCGCGGATACGTACCTGGCTGTCTTCATGTCAACATTGCTCCTGTGCTGATGTGGGACTGATTAGACGTGCCATGTGGCACATTGAGGCTACTTCGGATACTCGTTCAGAATATTGATTATTGAGGTGGTAGTAGAGGAGGGAGCCCGAAGCAGGAGTGGGCATTGTACTTTCCTCTCCTTTGTCTCATCTCCCTCCTCTCTCTTCGTCTGTGTATGATTACCTCATCTCATTCTGTCTGGTTACGATTCTGACTATTAGTAATCATCAACCGATGAACATTTAACTGGGCTTGCATTGTTGACGATTGTCTTCACGATCTGGGTTCATTGCATACAGATCGAACCCCTACGACCTATGACCCTACAACAGTCTACCAACTGTTACCAATACACAGGTCACGGGTTCAACTCTCGGGGTCGACACAGATATTGTACACAGGTAAGGTTAAGTTTAGGGATCGAGCCCTGGGATTTGCACTCGCTACTACGCACAGGTGAATACCGTTTCAGGATTTTGTTTCCTCGCCATTTTTGTTGTGGAAAATCGCAGTAGCACAACATCTGAAATTTCCATTTTCATTTTTCTTCTAAAAATTCGAAATTTCGTTGTTGGAAATCCGGAATATCTTTTTTTCGAAACTTTCGATTTCCTTTTGCAATTTCCCGTTATTTAGAGATCCGGAATATTTTTTCCGAAATTCATTTTTTTCAAAACGGTACGGGAAATCCCTCTTGTAGTTATCATTCTCCAACTGCGCGTACTCTCATCTGAGTAATTCCGAATATAGCTGTATTTTTTTTTTTCGAAATTCTTATCGGACAATCATTTACAGTATGAAAGTTCAAATTGTTTCCTTAGGGTAATTTCGCACTTCAGGGGGAATTGGGAGGCCTACTGAACTTGCAAATGAGTATTTTTTTCTTTTTCTCGATTTTTTTTTGCAAAGTCCAAACTTTTCTCTTTTTTTATTAGTGGCTCCTTATCTGGGAGATTTATCCTTCCCCACCTATGTTGTTGCCCCCTCTGGTCTTAACTTCTCTATCTGTCTCCGGGTACCCCCTGCGGCGGCATTGGTGAGTTGCCACGTCAGCAGGCCACACCAGCAGACCACGTCAGCAGACCACGTCAGCAGGCCACGTCAACAGGCCACGTCAGCAGGCCACGTCAGCCAACAACAGTGCAGTAGCAGGGAGTACCACGTCAGCAGGCCCCCGGCCTGGTCTATGCTCTTGCGCTCGCAAACAGCCGTCATGGACCAGACGTCTAGGGAAATGGACGAGGCCTATCAGGCCCGGATGCTGCTTCTGATTACCGAAGCCAAGCAATGGTCGGATGTAGTAGCAGCCGCAACAAAGAAGAAGGCAGAGGATGCCGAGAAGGCACGTCTGTTGGCAATCGAACAACAGCGCCAGCAAGACGAGCCAGTAGCAACGGCTGCCGATGAAGAACGAGTTCAACGACGCGAGAAGATATTCAGCGGAGAGCGAGAATTGTTCACAATGGAAGCGGATTGGCGGGCCGAGGCCGAGAACGGTAAGATGGAAGAGAGTGTAAACAAGATCGCTTGACTCCTCTCCCATCTCACGGATCTCCTGGCAACATGCATTACACAGCAAGAGGACATCCACAGCCTCGACTACGCGTTGTCTCAAGTCCACAGCCGCCTCCACCAGCTGGGGCAGCGACCCGTCGCCGCCCCCGATGCCAGCTCTTCCAACACCTCCGATCGCCTCGAGGCATTGGAGATTGACGTCGGATCCCTCAAGGGCGACGATGGACCTGATTCCATGGTTCTGCAAGTTCGAGCTCAAGTTGCAGCTCCACCATGTCAGCGAACACAAGCACCACGCGTACTTATACACCCGGTTGGGGGGCGCGTACCAAGCATGGTTGGACAATCTCTTGTCCAAGTACGGAGTGGTGGCTGTCGAGTTGCATACCAAGATCAGCCGGGATGATCTAAAGGCGGCGTGGCATAAGCGGTTCCAAGTAGAGCCGCCGAAGATCAAGGCAATGGAGAAGTTGATGACCTTCGGACAAGGCACGCTGCCGAGTGTTGACTGGATTGCCGAGTACCAACGCTTGACATCCGTCCCAGACCTGCAAATGGGCTTCAAGGCCATCAAACACTACTTCATCTTGAGGTCGTGTCCGGCGTTGGGCAATGCCCTGACTCACGTCGAGGACACCCTAACGAGAACGGCGGAGCTCTTCGACAAGGTCGTGCAGATTATTGTCACGAACAAGGAGGCCAAGAACCTCCACCGTTCATCTGCGACAGGCCTGAGCAGAGATCAGCATCGGCCGAAAGTGGTCGTGGTCGCGGCAGCAATGCCAAACGACCAAACTAGCGAGGTCGTGTCTGCTAATGAAGGGGACAAAATCGCAGCCGCCCGAGATGGTGGCCGCCCCGACAAAGACCGAGGACGTGGCAAGACGAAGACAAACACCGCATCTAGCCCTGGGCCCGACGCAGCAGCTCCAGCCCCATGGTCCCACTACGGTCTCTCAGAACAGGTGTACAAGGCACGCACGAGATTCTGCTATTGTCTGTGGTGCAACAGCGATCTCCACGAGACAGTGGGTTGCCCGTCGAAAGGCAAAGGCAAATCGGGAAATTGAGCACCGCCGGGAGTGCCTCGACGTCTTCGGAACCGGTCGTTTCGCAGGTGACCGCCCTTCGTTCCGAGGCACATGTGGAAGTCGATAGTCCTCCTCTTCTATATTCTTATGAGGACTATGCTGCCCGACTCATTCCTATGCTGGGTACTCATGCTCAAGGACAAGACGTGTGTGCGGCATCTTCTCCGTCCGGCAGCGGCGGCTTATCGTCTTCAAGTGGTTCTTCATGGGATTCGGCGCGCGAGTTCAACATAGAGGTATTGGACCCGCTCACGTCTGAGGATTTTGAATGGCTTCCTCTCCCGACCACAGGCCGCTTGTCAGGACCGCAATGCGCAGCATTATGCGCTCATCTTCACACGTACTTATCCTTCCATGCACCACCAACTTCGCCGACGGATGACGAAGTCGCGGTGAGGGACATCCTTGCGTATGTTACCAAGAGCGGTACGATGACAACAACGCACCGCTCCTCTATGTCCGCATCCAAGTTGGGCAAGCGTCCTGCAGCGCTTTGCTGGATAGCGGCGCGTCTCGCAATTTCATGAGCGAAACCTTTATGCAAAGGGTTGACCTTGGCACACAAGTTCGAAGGAAGGCAAACCCGGCGGCGATCAGGTTGGCGGACGGAAAGACGCAGCAACTTATCGACCGCTACATTGAGGCCGTACCAGTGTATTTCGCACCTCATGCATGCGAACCGGTGACGTTCGACATTTTAGACACGGACTTCGACGTTATGTTGGGAATGCCTTGGCTTGCAAGTGTGGATCACACGGTCAACTTCCACCCGCAGACTCTTACCGTTCGCGACGCTTTTGACGCCGAAGTGTCGTGTACTATTCCTCTTCCGCACCCTTCGATCCGATGCCAAGTGGTGACGGCCAAGTCATTCCGGGCTACTTGTGCTTACGAGCAGCCCAACGAAATCGGCCTATGCTTCCTACGGACCGTCGCGGTAGCCGACACTTCACCCACGGACTTGTCTTCGGACCCCCGTGTGGTGCGGTTGCTTGACGAGTTCGTCGACATCTTCGAGTCCCCTACCGGTGTGGTGCCGGATCGGCCGATCTCTCACGAGATCATTCTTGAGGCTAGTGTCGTGCTGCCTAAAGGTTGCACTTATCGCATGACCGAGGAGGAGCTTACGGTCCTCCGCGTGCAACTCGATGACTTGTTGGACAAGGGCTGGATCCGCGCTAGTAGCTCTCCATACAGAGCACCAGTTCTCTTCGTACGGAAGAAGAACAAGGATCTACGTTTGTGCATGGACTACCGCAAGCTCAACACGCAAACCGTCAAGAATGCGGGGCCTCTTCCTCGTATCGATGATCTTCTTGCGCGATTGGGCGGCGTGAAGTATTTTTCTAAGTTGGACTTGAAGTCGGGATATCATCAGATCTCGATCCGACCGAACGATCGTTATAAATCCGCGTTCAAGATGCGGTATGGGCATTTTGAGTGGGCGGTCATGTCTGTTAGCCTCACCAACGCCCGGGCGACCTTTCAAGCGGCAATAACCAACGAGTTTCGTGCAATGTTGGACCGGTTCGTGCTGGTCTACTTAAACGACATTCTCGTCTATAACCGGACATTGGAGGATCATCTTGGGCACCTTCGACGAGTGTTAGAGACTCTCCGCCGCACCAAGTACAAGGCCAACCGCGACAAGTGCGAATTTGTCCTGCAAGAGCTGGAATACTTGGGCCATTTTGTCACACCGGAGGGCATCAGTCCGTTGTCGGACAAGATCGAGTCATCCAAGAGTGGTCGGAACCATGGAACGTCACGGATGTCCGTTCGTTCCTTGGCCTACTACCAACGTTTCATCAAGGGATATTCAAAGATCGCGACCCACTTGACCAAGCTTCAATGCGAGGATCGGTCGTTTGACTTCGGAGAGGATGTGCGAGGATCATTTTTGGCTCTCAAAGCCGCGCTATTATTTGCTGAGGTCTTGACCCGCTATTGTCTACACGCGTCAATACAGATGTGTCCAGCTATGGCATTGGTGTCTTCCTCGAACAACATGATGGTGTGGACTGACACCCGGTCGAGTACTTCAACAAGAAAGTGTCCGTCGTGCACTCCATTGATGATGCACGCAAGGAGCTCCTCGCCTTCGTCCACGCGCTCAAATGGTGGCGTCATTTCCTCCTTGGTCGAAGTCAATTCAGATGGGTAACGGACAACAATCCGTTGGTCTTCTACAAGACCCAAGACACCGTCAATAGCACCATTGCCCATTGGATGGCTTTCATCGACCAATTCGACTTCTTTCCCGATCACATTCCGGGGAAGTCCAACCGTTTTGTGAATGCTCTTTCACGGCGTCCGGATCATTGTACCGCAGTCTACTCAACCTTCGAGATCGGCAACAACCTGCGGGACAGCTTCATCTGCGGCTACCAAGCCGACCCCGAGTTTCGCGACAAGTACGCGAATTGCTCCTCTCCTAATCCGGCGCCTTCTCACTACCGGATCCAAGAGGGGTACTTGCTTGTCACACGCGGGGGGAGGACCTTCTTTGCGTACTGAGTGACTCTCACTTGCGTATATGGCTTCTTGGCGAGTTCCACGATGCTCCCGCCACCGGACACTTTGGAGTCAATCGCACGATTGACCGACTTCGCGAGCGATTTTGGTGGTCCGGCCTTCTCGGCGACGTCACACGCTATTGCGAGTCATGCGAGGTTTGCCGACGCTGCAAATTCTGCAACCATCGTCCGTACGGCAAGTTGTGACCGTTACCGGTCCCCTTGCACCGAAGGGAAGCGATTACCATGAACATTACCGGACCGTTCCCCAAACACAAGACCTGTGTGGATGGGATTCTCGCGGTGGTTAACCGACTCACCAAGTTCGCCATGTTTTTGCCTTGCTGTTGTCATGCCAAGGCACCGGAGTTGGTCGAGGTTCTTTACGCCGGTTGGATTCCAACCAAGGGTTACCCCAAGGAAATCGTCTGCGACCGCGACACTGAGTTCATGTTCGATTTTTGGTTGGCGCTCATCAAACGATGGAGCTTATCTCTCAAGCCAAGTTCGGCTCGCCACCCCCAAACCGATGGCCAAACGAAGAGGGCGCATCAGACCGCAGAGGTTCTCCTTCACACTCTCGTCCGTCCCGACCAAAAGGATTGGGTTGAGCGGCTGCCGGATGTCGAGTTGGCATTCAACTCGTCCATCCACCCGGCCATCAGGATGTCGCCCTTCGAGTTCGAGCATGGCTCGCCGGTCACTTCTCCGTTGGACACAATCATTCCACGAACGGCCGAGAGCGATGACCATCTTCCTTTCTTGCGTCGAATGCAAGAGCTACTTGTCAAGGCACGCGACCAGATGGCTAAGACGCACCAATGCATGAGCCAACAGGCCAATCGCCCGCGTCTTCCTCGCCCATTCCGCGCCGGCGATCTCGTTTGGGTTTCCGCCGCGGAATTCAGCCTTGAACAAGATATATCTTGCAAGCTCCTTCCGAAATGGATGGGGCCCTGGCCGATCGTGGCACCCATAGGGGATGCACTCGAAGGACCTTCCTTCACCATTCAGGTGCCCGCCCACTTGCCCGTCTACCCGGTCTTTCATTGCTCCAAGTTGGCTCTTTACACACCAGCGGAACATGACGATTTTCTTGGGCGACGATCGCAAGACCCACCCTCTATGGACGGTTTTCAAGAGGTCGGCGACATCATCTCCCAGCGACGCTACGACAACAGGCCAACCGAGTACTTGGTACACTTTGCGTACTGCACTCATAAGCTGATCGTTGGTTGACCCATGCGGAACTCCAAGCAACAGCTCCGGATATTCTCGCATGCTACGAATGCAAGATGCAAGGAAAAGCCGGTATCTTCGGCTCCATGTCGCACCCGCATCCAGGTTCCACCTTCAAATCGTCTGCTTCGCCCTCGACCCGGCTTGAGTTCATAAGGAGGGGGGGGGTGTTACATGTTGCGCCTGCAACAGGCTGCACATGCCACTTTCAGGCCCGTGAAGTTTTCAGGCCAAAAGCCTGAAAACAAGGGCCTACAGGCCCCGTGTCGTTTCAGCCTGAAAGCCTGAAAACAAGGGCCTACAGGTCATACGTCGTTTCAGCCTAAATCAGGGTCTTTTCGGCCCTGAGTCTTTTCAGCCTGAAACCGAGGGCCATTTTCAGGCCCTCATCAGATCGACCCGCCCTGAAACTCAGGCACCAAACCAGGGTTTTAGCACAGGTCATTTGGGGCCTGTTTTCACGACAACCCCTGGTCGAGCTTCAACGCCAGGGTCTGGCACCCAGCGCTGCCGGGAGAGAGAGATTGGGAGGAGGCCAGGGAGACTTACCTGCAGTGCCATAGCTCCAGCTTCGTCTTCGAGGTACCTGCAGCACAGCGCCATCTTCACAGGTTAGTACCTGGCACGTGAAAGGGAGAGAGAGAGAGTTCTTCTTCTTCCTCTTCTCAGTCCACCATCTCCGTCTCACCCTCTCGCTACCTGACTTCACTGCATCAGCAGACTACGAGAGAGAGAGAGAGAGAGAGAGAGAGAGAGAGAGAGAGAGAGAGAGAGAGA